GCAAAGCCTGTGCATGCTGGAGAGCCTGCTGGCGAGCGAGCGCCTGGGGGTGGGTTAAAGTGCTAGGTGCAACGTACGGCGTGGAAGGGGGATTCATCATCGCCTCCGGCAGCAGGCGCGCGCGCGTCCCGTCAAAGTCTTTGATAATTCCTTTCGCCGGAGATTTGACTATCGCCAGCAGGCCGGTTTTCGTGGTGGCCTGAGATGGGTAGGGACTGTACCTCTGGCCCGAAGTATCAAGTCCGTTCACAGTACGGCGTATGTGTTTCCTCTGGGGAACCTTGACGCTGTTCGGAAAAATCTTTATGGTCAGTGGATTGTTGGCGACCTTCTTAGCATAAGCATCCAATTCTGCTGGGGTAGGATACTGTGCAGATCTCATTTTCTGTGTAGTGTCCCCTGCGGAGAAAGGAAATTGGTCAAGACCGGTTCTGGCAAGCGAGGGATCAACCCCAGGGCAAGAGAGTTGCACAACATGGGTAGAAAATCTCCAAGGAATCAAGAGGCAAGAACTTCATCTTCCCAGACCAGCGGTCTCTGCACCAGATACCTCATTCCATTTATTACCTGGTGACCAACAGAAACCCCAGCTCAGATTAGGGCAAGACCTGCCCAGGGGAGCAAAACGAACCCGGGGTTTTCATCAGAGTATATTTACAGTTGGACAAAAACAGGTAATACGCTGTAAACCTCACACTGTCTCCAGCTCAAAATATTTCTTACAACTTGTGGTGGTGAGCCCGCTTCTACACTCTTAACTGGAGGCTGCCCCCCCCACGGCTCTTCAAGACATTCTCAGGATCTTTACCGTGTAATTCCAAATCGGAAAGTTATGAATTAAACATTAAAACCGTGCAATGCTGAGGTGGGAACCACACGGTGGTGGGCTGACCCTGGCTGGAGGCCAGCTCCCACCAAAGCCGCTCCACCACTGCCCTCCTCAGCCGCACAGGGGAGAGGAAAGGGAACGAAGGGCTCCCAGGTCGAGATAAGGACAGGGAGATCACTCGGCAATTATCATCACAGGCAAAACAGACTCAACTTGGGGAAAATTAGTTTAATTTATTACCAATCAAATCAGAGTAGGATAATGAGAAATGAAAACTAAATCTTCACACACCTTCCCCCCACCCCTCCTTTCTTCCTGGGCTTAACTTCACTCCCGATTTCCTTCACGTCCTCCCCTCCAGCAGCGCAGGGGGATGGGAACTGGGGGTTGTGGTCAGCTCATTTCATGCTGTCTCTGCTGCTCCTTCCTCCTCGGGGGAGGATTCCTCACATTCTGCCCCTGCTCGAGCGTGAGGTCCCTCCCACAGGAAACTGTTCTGCACAAACTCCTTCGATACGAGTTCCTCCCACAGGGCTGCAGCTCCTCACAAACTGCTCCGGTGTGGCTCCTCTCCATGGGGTGCAGTCCTTCAGGAGCAAACTGCTCCAGCGCGGGTCCCACGCGGGCTCACAAGTCCCACCAGCAAACCCACCCCAGTGTGGGCTCCATGTGGGTCCACATGCCCTGCCAGGAGCCTGCTTCAGCACAGCCTTCCCACGGGGTCACGGCCTCCTTCGGGCATCCACCTGCGCTGGCACGGGATCCTCCATAGGCTGCAAGTGGATTTCTGCTCCAGCACGGACCTCCACAGGCTGCTGGGGGACAGCCTGCCCCACCGCGGGGTTCACC